AAATATCAGGTTATACCCATAAATCATGATTTTAAAGTATTATTTTCAACTTTCTAATGCTTGCATTACCTGCTTGAATATTATAAATCCATTTGTTTCCATTATACATACCTTCGGAATTATATCAAAATATAACCAAAAATACCAGGGCTTTGCTACCTTAATTTCTGTTACTTCCAGTTCACCTAACCCATGCCTTCTCCATTCTCCCATCAACCCCTTCCATACACATTTCCTTAATTTAAAAGAACATCAATCTGTATCCGATGTGCAGAGGTAGGTATGGCTATGAATACTTCTGATAGTCAATTTTTGTCATTACCATATTATTTACAGGCATAAAGATTATTAATTTTGAGATAATAACCAAAGACTTGAATAGTCAGTGCTATTGGTATCAGTAGCAGATTTCTGGCGTAGTGTATGGATTGACATACTGTAGCAATAGTGAAAGATGGAGAGTCTGTCATGGTACTAATTCAAGCTGCAGAAAAACGAATGGATGAACATGCAGCAAAGGGTCAGCACTACCCATTTTCAGACTTGCTAAAATATTTTACTATCATCTGACTTTGAGTTATGATCAGAAACAGAAACGTATATGCAGTTGTACAAAATATGCCTTAACACTGAACGTAATCAGTATCCTATGCTACTATTTAATCTCACTGAAGGAGTTTTAATTTAGAACTGGTTCATGCATTAGCACCACAGACGGGCCGGCTCAGTTCACACTTTCAGTAGTTTCGCCACATCCAGCTGAAACCCATTCCCTGAGCTCGACAGCCGCCTGCCGGTCAGGGACAGCCCCGCAGCGGGACAGACCCCACCCGGCTGCTGCCGCATCAGCCGCATCCCACTGCAGGGAATGAGGGGTCAGGTACGGTAATGGGAAACTGAGAAGGCCAACGGTCCCTTCATTGTCCTACCTTCCGTACAACTGCAGGTCTTGACTGCTCTCCTTCAAAGGATTTCATTTCAGTTGCCAGTGGTTTCATTTCAGGTGTCCTTCCCTGATTTCACATCTGTCGTGGTTCCTCCTTTTCTCATGAGAAAGCTGATGTCCACAATGCATAATACCACATTTAACTGATGAAGAAAAACTTTCTAAGGATTACAGCCTGGAGAGAAATTCAAAAGTCATTCACATATCCAAGAAAACTCCCTCCCACTATCAATCACTTTAAAAGAACAAAAATCAGTAAATCAACAAAGAGAATGAGAACAGAGCGCCCTGTGCACAGGATATCCCACTAAGCAAATAATTTACCTTTCTATGTCTCTGTCTCACATTAATAAAGATAGCTACAACCCCATTTATCATTTTTATTTGTTCCGAGTGAGGTTCTGAACAAAGACTAACTACAGAAATTTTCAAATAATCTGAAAGAACAAAAACAAAAGTAAAGAAATCACTTGTTTATGAAGGAAATTTTGGAAATTCAAAGACCAATACCTGCTCTTTGGACTTCAAAGGTAGATCAAATCTAGCCAGCTAGTAAGAGTCTTGTCCTCCACACCCCCTTATCTTTGTACATTTTTCTCCATCCCTCTGAAACAAGGTGAGATGCAAAGGGAAGAATACATATTTATGTATATATACTTATCCTCTAGTAGACAAGGTTTTTTCCTTTTGGATTTATCACTACCTTGGGTACTCTCCTTATGTTCAGATCTCACCAGCTGATGAACTTTTGAAAATTGAATACACAGAACATGAGGGCTTGAGTTGTGTTGCTACTACATTTGTGTCCTTAAAAGCTAATCCACAAAAAGAAGGTACCACGTTACTATTTCCTATGACCATTTTTCACACTAAAAAATGCATAATTTTCAGCACCAAATAAAAAACTTGACTGAATTTGAGGAACAAATTGCTCCTCTAAGTTGGAATATATAGACCACTGAGGCAGATTACAAAAATATATCCCAAACCAGACATATATATGAAATTCTATTTAAACATTCAGAACCTTTATTCTATATTCATAAAGGAGAAACTTTTAAAATATGCTATTGTAACACAGTCAATACCAGAGATTTCATTTTAGGGAAACGTCCAATTCTCAATCCCCTTTTCACGTGATTAAAGCAAAGGCACAGTAAAAGTAATCAACGAAATGTCCTCCCTCCAGGCTTGTCTGCTACTATAGTTCTTCCTGCAGGACTGTGTGATTCACGCCCTAGATCCTTTGCATCTAGGAAGGGATGCATCATGCCAGTTGATTATCTTCCTGAGAGGAAGGTCTGAGGGGTGATTTTTGTCTCAGAACATCAACTAGCACTACTAAAAAAGGTAAAAGAACTTTTTTTTTTTTTACACATTTTGGAAAAGATAAAAAGATAACTCACCAACAGTGACAGACAGTTTAGACCTGTGTTTTCACATCCTGCAGACAGGATAAATACCTATCTCATATTCACTCAAAAACTGTCCATTTCATTTTAATTATATAATATATTCAGCTAATCTAATTTCTTTTGTTTGTAAAGCTTTAGTTTCGTTTAAACTTTATTTAGAACTATATTTTTAAAAACAATTTTTTAAGCATCTCAAAACCTGTATAATTTTTGTAGAAATGAACACGATTGTTTCCAACAACGGACCATATTGAAAACAAGAGAACAAGTTATTCATAATTTAAGGGTAATGAGTTTAGTTGCATACAACTTGCCCAGCAATCCCAGACAACTAAATTACCACAAGTATAGAACACCTAAGACCACCAGATAATATGGAAGATGTATGTAAATACACATTGAAGAAGAAACTGTATTTAAGTTTGAATTTTACCTGTTTGAGTATTAATTATCTGCATGTGAAAATTACACCAGTTAGGTGTTTGCATAACAGTATGAAAAAAATAAATCTTTGCTGCTCACCTTACTCCTTCATACATATTTTCTAATGTTTTCAGAGAGCGAAATCTCCTTTACTGCAGGCTGGGATGGGGAAGACATTCCAATTTTGCATTACTAACACTGACACTGCTCTGATAAATTTAGTTCTCTTCCATGGGTTACACTGCTGTCTAACTGAGAATACAAACTCTACCTGCAACAAAAACAACATTGAAATTGATTTCTAATTCAGCTGTGGTTTTTCACTCTGAGGTGAGAGAACGAAACTTGAACACATTACTGAAACCAAGTCCTAGCCCATAAACAGCCATCCCAAGCACTGTACTATTACAAATAAATGCTTTCATCTCTGACAATGACTTTTACAATAAGCCTGTTTGTTTTCTCAATTACTTGCTCTCTAGATGAGTCACCGTACTATGAAGATAACATCTTTTCCTCTACACAGTGCACCGGGTTTTAGTACTGTAGCACATGAGTGTTAACTTCAAAGCACAGTGTAACATTGCCCACACCTAACTAATACTTGTACAATGCTTTGAAGATGTAAAAGTCTATGATTACTGACTAGTAAGTTTTGAACTAATACCAAAATTGGACTAATAACTACTGAAATCAGTGTGGAAATCATTCAAAGTTACACCATGCAATACAACTTCAACATTAGTTACCCTGGGTGGGGGCTGAGGGAAAAAAATCAATTACTTCCTTTGAAACAAGAAAAAAAGAAATCTCTGAAGTACTACAAAAATTAACCACATGAACATTCAGCCTGAAGTGTAATCTTTACGTCATTTAATATGCCTCTTATAAATCTTCATCCTAGACATGTAAAGCAGACTATTGTCCATCCTTACCTGAAACACTGGTTCAAACTGGGGGATAGAAGTCTTCATCTATTCCAGTAGTTGATGTAGCAATAAATCACGGCCGTGATGAGTTAAAATCAAATGTCCCTTTTTCCAACATATGCAGGAGCATCACCTGCTACAGATTTCTACCCTAGATTATTGAAGTTTATGCTAGGCTCATCCACACAGCAAAACCCATGCTTATTCGATCTATCAACAACTGATGTGTGGAATTTGGTGCATCCAATTTGATTCACTGTCTAATATTTTGCCGCAATGACTCCTCAAGTAGTGGCTTCAGTTACATCATAGCACAGTGCTGCAGAACTGCATTCAGTCAATCTGTTTCTTTCCAGGAATGCACAGCTCTAGCATACTTGTTGCCCCACATACCCAAGAACTGGGATAAGTACTTCCAATGACATTATTAAATTCTCAATTACCCATTTCTGTAGCTATGTTTGCATGGTATCAAAAAGAAAAGCACTCATTTCAATCAGGGAAAAAAAAAATATTTGAACTAAGCACAAACATATTTTGCAAAGGAACCTATCGCTCCTGATTGCCAGCAAACCTTAACTGGCCTACACTCCTTTTCATCACCAAGTCACACCCACACAGCATACTTTAGTCACAGCTGGCACATGCATTGACTGAACTTTTACCAGGTCCAAGGGCTCAAAGAGCCAGATTGTCTAGTACTGACTGTAAGCATAATCCAGCTTAACACTGGCCTGCATCCCACTGATGTGCTCTTGCTGTGTAAGCTGTGAAGTAAACCTTTTCCATCTTTGACAGGTTAACAGCATAACACCCAAAGTAAATCTAGCCACAGCATATTTTACCTTTCATATTACACTTCTCCTCCTCCTTCCACATTGTTTTGTGCATGGTTTATACAAAATCACAATCCAACACGAGGAGACTAAAATGAGGTACACATTTCAGAGTAAGGGTTTTGCTGTTCCACAACAATCATTAAGTAACGTGACTTGGCATTGTTTCAAATGAAAACAATCTTTCCATACAAAAAGATCAGCCAGACATTATTACACAAGTCCTCCTTAATGGAGGTACTTTTACAAAATCTGAAGAGCATCTTTTATATTTGTGGCTTTCTGGGACTATTTCCATTCTTGCAGAAATGCCAGTGTTTCAAAACCAAACTCAACTAGCCACATGTAAGTACTGAAATTCAAATACCACCTTAAGCATTTGATGTTTAGAATCCTTAAGACACTCCTTTGAAAGCACCTCAGTGTAGTAAATACAACTATATTCGTTATCCACAATGTCATACAGACATACACTTTATTAAAGTAACAGAAAAGAAAGACTACGTAAGAAAGTCACTTAGTGAAAGCACTCTGAAACAGACTGTCAGAATAATTATGGAAAACCCACAGATAATCTCATCAACTCAATATTTAAGAAACAGACACATCCTTATACATGTTTCTTCTGAGACAAAGTAACAATACAGTTCACTAACCAAACTTTACGTTCCATGTACCTGGTGTACCAAAAACATCAGGGGTACCACAAATTCAGAAATCTGTCCTCACTGAACATGTAGTGCATAGAAGCACAATAACAAAGCAATACAAAATTCTTCATTTGTTGAAAGATCAGTGAAGATTCTTCCCCTGTAAGTGCCAGAGTTTATTTTTCACACTTGATGCGGAATGGCTGAATAAGTAATCTCTAAACATGACTATCTATATTAAATTAGATTCTTATTTCCTCAGCCTCTGCCTGTGGCCTTTCACTTTGTGAAAGTATTTCAGCAGCTGATACACAATCTACAGGGTTTTTGTTCAACTTCTCAGGTGAAGAATGTCAGATTATAAAAATGCATATATACAAAATGCAATTCCCAAAAGGAAAGAGAGCAGGTCAAGCCCAGAAATATTGTTTGCAAGCATTAACAACCCCAGTGAACAGGAATGCTATCCAACAGCACTCAGGTTGTAAAGACTTAAGTTCACAAAGAGTGTTCAGTGGGCCAAAATAACAACAGGGTTTAAGTCGTCTTAACTTTTTTGTTTTTAAATGCAATGAAGAAGACAGACTATTCATTAAATATAAAAGCAATTTTATAAAAACACATCAGAATTTTATTGCTTGAAGAATACAGCATATGAAAAAGCACAAGAATGTCCAAAAAGAAAGGTCACAAGAATCCAAACATATTACACCATACATACCAGATGCAGTAAAATGTTAACCTGATTTCTGCATCAGAAAAGAAAGGTGTGAAAATATACCTAGTATTATTTAGAAGGAAAAGACTCATTTAAAATAGAAAGTGTGAAGGTGTTACAGTACAAATTAGAAAAGCCAACACTGCACATTAACATTGTATCACTAGACTAGATTTTCTACCTTTGGTACTTAAACCTTTACAGAAAACCACTTCCTCGGTCAAACCTTGCCTAACATCTGTCATATAGTATCCACAAAAGTTTTTTTGTTTTGTTTTTCCTTTTTAAACTTAAACATTCAAACAAATACCTTTCTGAGTTTTCACTGCACTAATGCATTTATCCAAATGCAACTTAAGACATCCCAAATTTAAATCAAAAGTCACTATGTGACTGAGATCTGAATATATGCCAATTATATCCTGTCCAGATCTTCATGTAAAAATGGGCTCACCATTTTCTGTTTGCATCCTTATGTAAACAGACTGCTGCAGCCCTCCTCAAGAACTCTAACTGGACCAGCTTGCTGAGGACATAAGTTAATAGAACAATCCACATTATTAGATAGAGATCATCTACAGCAGCATGCAAGTGGCTTTTCTAGTCTGCTCAGATTAGTGTACCAGAAGATATGCCAGTATTACTTCAAGTAACACATTAAAACTCAGCAATGGACACTACTGTGCTTTATTTCAACACAAAGGACAGCTGCTCATCCATTAAATCAACAGAACTATCGAAAGGACAAGTACATAATTTCTGTTTCATGTATTGCTGATCACTCTTGGGGAATAGTTTATCAAAAACCTACATTTACCTACAAACCAGTCTGAATAAATTGCTGTCTTTTAACAAGGTATTTTAGTAATCCAGTGGCAACCTAGTCTGGAGAATGTTAGCATTATGCTGACAACAAAGACTAACCAAAGTTAAATAAATTCCCTCTTTTATGATAAGCATGCTCTTAAGGTCAGCTTTTGCCTTCTTAGGCTTGAATACTTAATCACTCCCAGTCACATCAGCGGAACAAACAGTTTTGTTTCATTAAGTTCCGGCTTCATATTTCAACAATATGAATAAATCTGGACTACAAAATACCATCAACAACAGTTAACATTAAACTGGAGTGAAATAATAGAAACGTTAGTTCTTCAAACCAGGCAGTCTCTTTGAAGAGAAATAATCAGTTAGGACTGTCAAAGGATGTCATGATAAAACCACGGGTTTATTTTTTTCACCCCTATACAAAAAAATGATTGAATTTGTACAACTCCTATTAAACATACCTTTTCCTAGCTTGGTGAAAATGTATCATTTTCAAATTTTAACCAGTGTGGTATTCGAGCATATATAATGTTTATTGCCATTTTAAAAAGAACTAAGAATTCAGGCTCTTCTATGCTGAACTCCGCTTTTTCCCATTAACAGATTATGTCTACTGTACCACTCCCCCAAAAACAATTAAAAATTCTAAGTAAGATTTTATAGTTTAGTTAAAAGGGAAGAAATGCAAATGTGGATTTAGAGCTTTTTGTATAAATCTCACTATATTTTATAAACTTGTTGTTTATTGTAACACTGTTTATTGATCAAATAAATGACGCACCGCTATCTAAAATTTCCATATACACCATTAAAAATCCAAAGTTGATATGATACTGAACCTTAATTCTTCAAGAGTTCGAAAAAAGACAGTTTATACATGTACAGCACACAACAGCAGACACCCCTAGAATACCAACTGCCAGTCCACGATGCATACAAACTTACAGGTAAGCATTCATTTCACTGTTTTCGTTGTGCAGGAAAAGTATTTCTTAGTAAGACAACTCAGCTGGTGATTTTCAGATATCATCTTCATCATCTTCATCCTGAGAGGATCCTGCCTGATTGGATGCACTGGCTGAGGCAGCAGCGAGCTGTGCCTGTTGAGCTGCTTGCTGCATCTGTAGCCATTCCTGCTGCGCCAGTTCTGCTTGCTGTTGTCTAGCCTAGAGACACGAATTTAATAGTTAAGGCCATACAGAGCTTGTGAAGAACCTTCAGAACACATGAGCTTTAAAAGCATTTTTATCTGTACCTGCAGATTCCTTTTGTATAGCTTTTTATTAATTGTACATGCAAAACCTAGAAGTACCCTAATTATATGTACCAAGATGCTTGGCTATATTCTGTCTTCCTCTGAAGACACCACTGTTTGGAGGCCTAACAGTTACAAAAAAAACCAGACAGAAGATAGTGTACTTAAGTTCAACTGTAGGAATTCTGCTGAACCACTTCCTAATGAAAATTTAAGTGAGTCAAAGCAATGGAAACTTTAGACTTCAATGTCAAGGGAACTTAACATTTAATCACAGTTCAGAGATGAGAACAGCCTTACTTTGTTGATTACAAACACTGAAGCTTCCAATTATAAAATCACCCAATTGTACCACAGAGGCACACATTATTACAAAAACATAAAGAAAGCCATTATCTTGCTTTGCTAAGCAATCTTTGGAAAACAGAGCTAGGTAAGCTCTTCTCAAATTCAGGTATGTAGACTGAGGACAGCTGTGCTACAGAAATGTATAGTCCTTTTCAGTAAAGTAAAATACAAGACATTCTAACAAAACATTTCAAATAGTTCAACTGATAAACCCTTGTTTTTCAATCCAGGCTTTTCACTTGTTTTTCAGCAACTCCTGTTGATTTCAACAGTATACTTATCAATTGTGTTCACGTTAAAACTTTAATTTCTGTTTTGAGTGAACATTATGAAAAAGTTCTTAAAATTAAAAATTTTCAGTCTTTACGTTTCTACTTTTACAAGTCATCACTAAGACTGTAAAAAATTCCTTTCTAATCCTACTGCACTCATTGAAAAATTCTATTATTTTCCAAAGCATCAACATTTTTTACAATTTTGCGAACTTTAGGATGCCAAAAAGACGATGCTTTGGAAAACAACCAAACCCAGTTTATCTACTTAGCAACGTTAAAAAAAGGGGTCTTCCCTTGTTAAAATTGTCACAGTTCCTCAGTCTGTTCTAGCAGTAAAAGAAAATACTTCTGTAGAAGTAGAAACTTTTTCTCAATGAAGACTTTTTAGTATTTCAAACTTCAAGTGGTTGCACAACTAAAAGGGCTGGAAAACAATTTAAGACATCATAGAGTTTTAAAGGAAGACAGCAACATCTGTGCATACGGGAGAGGCATAAACATTTATCACACATGAGATAACAGGGCTCCCTACTGACCCTGCTACAATGACGTTAACTGCACGCTCCACGAGGTGACACACAGCAATGCACCAGGAAACAGGGGCTCAGCACCTCACACCAGCTGGATCCTGCTGTCAGCGCCCACCCTCACTTCGGATTTATAATGGTAACACTTGGCCATTTAAAAAATGGAACAAAAAACCCCCAAACAACAACAACAAAAATTCCATTGAGTTGTATTGACCAAGAAGCTTTATAAGCATCTGGTAAACTTAAGTCATTTACCACACAACCTCAGTGAGGAAGCCTCAAAAAAAACCCAAATCCATTAAGGGCTTTGTCTTGCACGAAAACTTATAGACATGCATGAATATCAGGATAAGCCATTCCCCTGACTTCAAATATTTACAACCAGGCAAGACATAGGTGTCAAACATTCCAAACATTAACAGGCAGGTATTTTAAAACTAGAGCAATAAGTTCAGCATTAGTGTCATGCTCTAGAATATAACAAGATTAACACAAATAAGCAAACATGTACTCATGTAACTATTTTTAAAAACAATTACAGTACCTCCAACAGCATATCACAGCATATCTATTTTTGAAAAATAAGACTCCCATCTTTGAATCTAAGCAAACATTTTCCATATTACCAAAGACTATTTTTAAAAATCATTCATACAATCCTGTCAAACTGGCATGCATTGTCTTAATTTAGATGTTAAGGTACAGTAACACAGAATTTTAAAAGAATACACTTCAAGTTGTCATTCCTTAGACCAAGTGGGGCTTGCATAAGGTGGCCACGATTCCAGCATTTTTAATTTTTTTTTTTTTAATGATACTCAGGAGCTAGTACTCCCTTAACACACCTTGGGTTTGCTGGTTTTTTTATTTTGTACACCATGATGAATTATTTGAACAAGATAGTAAGTAAAAAAAAGGTTTCAAACTGACTATTATTTGTAAATCTTACCCAAAATTCAGAAGCAGCCATATTGGTCTTTCCAATGTTAGTACAGTCAAAAAAGAGTTAAGCACACGTGACTTGATCATAACTAGTTCACTGCATGCTGGCAATAGCTACATGGTATGCTGTAACTTTAAATGTCTTAAAATTCATCATGTAATTAAGATTAAAGTAGCTGGCATGTTGCAATAGGAAAAACAACAGTTTCAGCAAGATACAAGTACAGCAAAGGGGAGAGGTCACAGTAATCAGACATTAACTGAATAAGCATTTTCATCAGAGAAAATTAAAGTAAGAAAATTGAGAAAATTTGACTCATGCCTTGGAGGAAAGAGAAATCCCACTTTACCATCTCTTAGTTTAGAGAATGGTCCTGTCAAACTAAGAGAATAGTAGAGAGAAAGATGGTGTAGGAAGATACCTAAATGAAATTGGTGTTTAGCCATTTAAAATAAGAGATGTTCACAAACTATCTGGGAAAGCTGGAAGGGAATAATGCTGGGATGAAGGAGAATGTGTGTGTGTACTATTTCTAAGCAAATGCTTTTTCCATGCCTCAGATGCCTCTTTAAAAATTTATGCATGAATTCACCCAATTAGAGTCTTGCCAAGAGTAAAGTTTCTTTCAAAGGATAAGAAGTAACATTTGTGCACTGATGGTCAGAAACAGAAAAGCTATTTTCACTTTTTAATGCTTCAAAACTGGTAATTTCCTAGAACACCAGCTGTCATTCTTTTATTTCCTCAGGCAAGTAATTCTTAATGTATTCTCTACAGTAGAATGGAAATACCTAAGTAGCAGCAAAACCCTATGCTTTTTAAATCTAGAGTATAAAATCTGTTCTTATACAAAGTCCTATATGTCAAATCATAGAAGTAACAAGTAGCAGCATCTTATTTTTTGACTTCACATTCCCCAAATCCAACAGGTCAAGGCCAATAGGATCTTGGATGCCACAGCAATTCACAAGGGGACACTTGTTGAGGTGTGCACATGCTTTTGCGGCCCTAGACCTGTAGCATTAATTATTCCAACCACATCAGTACAAGTATTGCTTTACTTACTTGTGCAAATAATTCCTGTTGCTGCCTTAGTAGCTCTTCTTCCGGAATGCCGAGGTTCTCCAAGCGTGAACTGGCCTTTCTTCTCTTTAGTGCTACTGTTTTGCATTCTTGTAAGACTTCTTTTACTTCACTGATATAGGAGCCAAATCCCAAACTTTCTAGTGCTGGAAAGAAAGAAAGAAAACACATCGTTTATTTTTTACAAAGCTTTTGATAATACATATCCACTTGTTAATTTAAAAGACAAAAAAAAAATTAAAACATCTGATTACTTTTCTATCACCTGGTGACAAAAATATGTTCATAAAAAAGATCTGACAGCTATTTTCCTTGTCTCTTCTCCTATGCCATTCAAGAGTACAGGTTTTCAGGCTAAAAAGTACAACCAAAGAAGTCTGCACTTGCAGAGGATTCAGGGCTTTGGATACACTTTCCCAGAGACAGGCATTATTCTTCAAGACATCTTTTTCCCATCTTCTGTATATCAGAATCAACAGAACTTATACAGCTAAGAAGTCCCTTCTGTCTGAATTGTTAACCTTTAATGTCTCAGGGATTGTATCTTTCCAGTTTCGTTGCAAATTTTTAGTAGAAGGTAAATTAGTAACCTATAACAGAGCAAAAGTGATGCATGTAAAATGATCACAGATCCTTTATTAAAGCAGAAATAATTCATATTATCATAGATTGCTGAATTTTAGCTTTTGTCTTTTAGTATCTAAATTCCCATATGTAAAGTGCATCGTACACATATATAAAGTTATATAAAATTATATGTAAGCTCTTTATTATTTTATTTCTCAGCAGAAACCCTTTTATCTCCACATTAAAATGTATTCAGAAACTGAAATCTTGCACTTTTGTCTGCCCAAAGAAATCTGGAATGCGCTATATTCTGCAACAACATTTTCTTTAAAGAATGCAAAGGTAATAGGAAGGATTATAAAAACCCAGGTAGAATACGTGACAAAAGGCAGTTTCCTGATGCACCATTTACTACGACATGCCTCCACACACACCCAAAGTGAAACTGTTACAGAATATCCTAGAGACATTACAAAAACACCAATTACACTAGAAACAAGTATCAGTTGAATAAAAAAAGTAGTTCATTTCCACTATTTACACAATTCAGAGTTTATAGTACAATAGTTGTTTTGACCTTATGTGACAACCTATCCAAGAAACAGCACTAAAGTAGACTGCGCAACAGCAATCAACAGAGATTGTTATAAACAAGCTTAGTTACACCAACTCAGACTATATTCTAACACTAATTTTGTAAGCAACATTTTCCTACCATAGTTATGTCAGCATGTCATTGTATCATAATCTAAACAATAACCCAAAGGTGTTCTCTAAGTTTTCAACTTCCAACCTGAACTCAAGGAGAGAATTCCCACACTGTCTTCAACAGGGTTGTCTGTGCAGCTGTCTAGTCATGCAACCCTACCATCCCTTCAACAGATAACATTTGGCAAATGAATTTACATAATACTTATTTCTTCAAAAAAAAAAAAGTTAAAAGACAAACTGATTTAGAGATTGTCAGATTGCTTCAGAGACATTATGCCAGTTCAGCCTCAGCCCACACACAGACACTGGAAACACTTTTTCCAATTAACCCACAGTTTCTAGGAGAACTTGTTCAATCCAGCCTGAGCATATAGGAGGCAAATCCATGGTCCAGAACTGGTTATCTAAACAAACTACAAATATTTAAGAACTCGTTGAATTTTAAAATGTAAACAGTACATACAGGAAACTATCTAAAGTCATATCTTTTTTATAATCAAAATATAAAATTTTAAGAAATCTACAAATCTAACATCACTAAGACAAACCATCACGGCAAAACCAGAGGTGCTTGTTGAAAGAACATTCACAGGGATCAGGGCTGGCAATCTGCTGCATCAGAATATGAACAACTGCCCAGTCTGAAGTTAACGGCAAGATGTGTTTTTACAAAAAATTTTAAATGGCCCTTAAAAGAAAATAAATTAATGGAAAGAACTTACAGTTGTGTATTGAATGTAGCACACACACACATACAAAAGCAAATAACCCCCCCATGTGATATAACCAGGACAAATTTGTACAACTGCTCAGTACAACAAAGCTAAGAAGAACCATACACATATTACAGGTCTACTGCACCAAAATTCTGCTGGCTGTGGAAGGACTTACCAAATTTACTGTCTTCTTGAAGCACATCAAGGCTTTACAGAACACATGCACAGAAGGATATGGATCCCTTTATATCAGCATGGTGCTAAAATGTGGGACAAGTGAATACTACCTTATCAGAGCTGCTGTTCCATCAGTGTCTTTCTATCTTCTGAGTCTGAAACCTACCAGTCTGCCCAGATTGCTAAAAATTCAGTATGTTACTGAGGTCAGGATGATCACACTAAATGTAAACAGCTGAATCCCAAAACACAGCAAACAACTCATGTTTACAAACACCAGATCACAACTGTCCTTTCCCCAGTTTCCTCTCACTCTTAAAGACTGCATGAAGGTGCAGATCTGATTATTCAGCGCTGCCCAGCTAGTACTACTTTTTTAATACACTCAGGTCATTCATATCTGAGATTTAACCGATCTGCTCCTTTCAAAGAAAAAATAACTTCCAAATTAAAATCCAAAACATGAACAGGTCTGTGGAATTTCTTTAAAATTAAATGCTAGCATTAACACTGTCAGTACCCTAAAAGCCTATGAAAAGAAGCTGCAGGATTTGCCATCAATCCACAGCCTACCTTACTGCACAATAGTTCTGTGCAGACCAAGTGATCAAATTAACCAACTTCATAAAAACAGTCATTTAACAAGTCACCATTTTCAGAATTCAATGGAAGTTTAATTTTTCATAAAAAGGCTGTTTCGTCACAACTTCTGTAACTGTTAAATTAGTCTTCTTCTGTTCCAGGATGGATGAACATTCATTTGCTTACTAAAGTTGCAGACTCACAGCTGGGTTCCTGATGGTGGGATTCAACAATAAACATGGAGACTATTTCCACTTACAACTATGACATAGCCTTTGGATACTCTCCAAGGAAACTGTTTTGTGTTTTAGTCCTAGTAGTGAGTGCTTGGCATGGTCTGAGTACATCTATCAAATCAGATCTCTCATGGGATGCAAGAAGCCTCTGCTTTCCTTTCCCTGTGCTGTTGACAGCACTGTGCCAGTCAAGTGTTTGTGCTACCACACAATAAAACACAGCAGGGACTCCATCTATCTGAAACACAGCCCAAGGGTAGGGGGAAAGATTTCTTGCTCAGCACATGGCCATACAATCATTTTAATAGTGCAGCAAAGGAAAGGGTGTCCTAAGCAGCACGGCTGCAAACACATGAGTACAGTTAGTACACACTAGTACACATTCGAACAGTTCCACATTGCCTCTCACACAGTCCAAAGGCAGAGTGTCACCAACTGCAGAGTGCCTGTTTCCCTTTCCTCCTTCCCAAGGAAATAACCTTCCCACTTCTTGTTTTCAATCTAGTATCCTTTTGTTTACAGGCTCAGTCAGACCAGCAAACTCACCTGAAAGGAAACCAACTAAATTCTCAAAAGCCACAGGGTCAGTCTGGAATTGCCAGGTCCAGCTCTAGGGAGGGTACAAAAAGATTCCTCTGGGCAGCTCCTGGTGCTTAGACTGGACCAGGTGTGAAACAATGGCCATTAGCCTAATTTTATTTTAAGCATTCAAAAGGAATAAGATACGTGGATAGCCACAACAAACACATTTCAATTACCTAATTCGTTAACATCATTGTCATGGAGCTACATCGAGAAGCAGTCAAAAGAGCAAGTATTTAGAATGTAGAAAGATGGATGAAAATGCTGAAATACTCAACCTATATACACATAATCACTGTTTCCAAAAATGGCAATCTAAACCCTCATACCTCACAGAAGGATCATCTGCCAACCGACCAGCACCTGAAAGGAGCTAAGAGCACATACACTTCCCTAAAGACAGCAACAGCAGAAAATCCAAGAACAACTCCTTCCATCTCCAGAGCATTGCAAAAATGGATACATCTCCAAAGTTTTCCTTTGCAATATTTGACTAAAAAGTATAGATTTAATTTCAAAATAATTTTTCCCAACTCTAAAACAAAGATAATTTTTCCCAACACAAAGACATAGAACCCAGTGAAATACTTGGTATAGGACTACCTGCTGATGATATGCACACACAGTTTCAATTTGTGTTCCAAAAAACCCAGACTAACCCTAGGCCAACAACAGGTGAAATCTTTTCTAAGGACCATCAACCACTACTGGGCACAAAATACTTTCATACGTGAATTGTTTATTGTCCTCAGCATTAAAGATCATGTCTATTCCTGCGTTAAGAACTAAGCTCAAATGTTTTCATGGTGACTTGAAGAAACTATTCATGTATTAAAGAGCATTACACCCAAAGTGTGCTTCAGTGTGCAAGCACAGGTTTTACTCTTTACATCCTAAGCTTCTGTGATGGAGCTACTTTGCTAAGCTTTCAAGTTTACATGTATTTTATTTAACATTAAAGCTCATACATGCTACATATTTTCTCCTACTGTTCATAATCCAGTCGAGTACTTGAGCCTCTTCTGTTGAGCAAGCTAATAGACTTTTTTTTTTGTTTCAAACAGCAAATCATTACTAAAAAAACCCACCAAATTAACAACCTTTTTAAAATTTAACTTGATACCATCACAGTCCTGAAAATAACGCTACTACAAATGCTACTGCTAACATCTCTACCAGGCAGCAAAGTACTCCACTGTTGCTGCTATAAATTAGTTTGCAACAGACAGTGGTATCAACCTAGTCTTAAGGCAAAGTGAGTAAGTCCTGACAAAACATGCCCGATGCAGACTTCAGGATGAGGCAAGAAAACTCCCTATTTGCGGCAGAATTTAAAGACAAGCAAATGAGACACAGAGAGAACTCGTCTTTTATTCAAGCAAGGGGAAGTGAAAGTCAACAGCAGAAACAGATAAAAGGGCACAGGTCAGTTTAAATGCTTTCTGCAACAGATACAAAGTTTCAGTATTAAACAACCAGACTGTAAGGACAGCTCTTTAGAGCTTCCAGACAGGACTACCACAGATTAAAGCCTGGGCCCACATACTCAATCAATCTCCAATTAGAAAGACATTGAATACATTCAGGATCTTAAAACATGCTGCATATCCACTAGAAAAAGCAGCCCTCGTTTCACAGGTACGAAAAAGAGCAAGAGATTTGGTGACTTCACTCAGAGCATCACAGGCTTCTCTGAACCACAAAACCAGAGCTGGTGCTGAGCACACGCAGCAGCTGCTCTGACCGCACAAAGAGAGCCTCTCGAGCAGTGCGACTGGCAAGCTGGGTAACACACGCGTTTCCTCCAGACCCTTACGAGATCCTGCCTTTTGTCTCCTACACAGCTATGAGCAACCGGAGAGGGAAAAGCAGCACGGGGCAGGAGTGGCTCACGGGTGCCCAAGCCGGCGGCAGCACAGCGCTTGCGGGAGCTCACCTTGTATGACATGCTCCGGGGAGATGGTTTTCTTCTCCGATTTGTTGCAGATCTCGTTGGCCTCGGAGGAGATGAGGTGGATGAATTCAGTGCAGCAGTTGACCACCAGCTCCCGGGCGTCGTTCGCCACGCGGACGTTGGGCAGCGTCTCTTTGATCATCTTGTTGATGGCAGCCCTGGGGATGGTGAGGTCGTCGTCGTTGCCGGACGACGAGGCCATCCTGGCTGCGGGGGCTCCGGGCTGCGCTCAGCGAGGCTCCAGGGCGCGGGGACCCGGCGGGGGCGACGCCGGGGAGGGGCGGGGGGCGGCGGGGGCCGGGCCGGGGGTCGCTGCAGGGCCGGGGGTGGCGGGACCGGGAGGCGCTGCTCGGGCTCAGGGCTCCCTCGGCCGCGGCGCCTGCCACTGCCACCTCCGACACATCCTTCGCGCGCCGGCGCCGCCGCCTTATGACCGGGGTGAGGGGAGGCGAGCGGCCGAACGGCCCGCAGGGTGCTCGGCTGGGCTGGGCTGGGCTGAGCTAAGCTGGGCTGGACCAAGCTGGGCTCACCCGGCCCGGCGGAGCGGCGGCCGCGAGGCGGAAACGCTCCGGCTCCGGCTCAACCTGTGGGGACGGCGCTTCCGCCGGAAGCCGGAACAGCTTCCGCCGAGAGCCGCGGGAGCCGGAAGCGGCGCGAGCCCACGTGCGGGCGGCGGAGCCGGCGAGGGGCCCTGGGTCCGTCCGTCCGCCCATCCATCCGTCAGCCCGGGGGCTGCCCTGCCCGGGCACCGCCCGCCCTTCGGCCCGGCTGCTGCCGCCGGGAGCTGCTTCGGGCTGCCCTTCCCTCGGTTCCGGTCGTAGCGGGGGGTTTGACACCCCAGGCAGGCGCGTTCGCACAGCAGGGCGCGCGGTTGGCGCTCGGCTCTTCATCCGTCGTTTATCCACGACTCGCAGCCACGAAGGGGTTTGCTCGGCATCCCTCTGTGAAGCTGCGTTTTGTGCTTTCAGCCACCGCATAACCAGTAGTGTGAGGGTTGTGTGAGTTAACCGGACCGTGCCGGTGCTCATGGAAGGGCCGTTACAACCCATGGCCTTGGTCGCACCGTGCTGCTCTGTGCTGCACAGGAAAACTGCCCGGGAATGCAGCCCAGCCCAACCTGCGGGCCAGGGACAGCCACAGCTGAGCGACACTGAGCTGCTCGTGGCACGCCCTGCCCTTCCCTGGCTGCCTGTGCCCAGCTGTGCCCAGCGCTGGCCCCTCACTGATGGCGAAGGGCTGCAGAGGGCGAGTGGCCGTGCTCCCTTCAGCGCCAGCACCACTGCTGTCCTTTGGTTCTTGCCTGCTCCTTTTCAGCCTGGCTGCTGTTCCCACCTCTGTGCCATGCACACGGTGATGCTGGGCTGTAGGCACCAGCCCCGTGTTTTCCAGGAGGTTTGCTTTAGCAGTGGGACGTGGTTGAGGCCTCCAGCTGTGCACAGGGGCTGCCGCGGGTGCTGTTCTCCCCTCACTCCCCTGCCTGCTGTCCTGAGGAGGGCCCTGCACGCCCCCACACCTCCGGCCCCACCAGGAGGGTCATGACTGCAGAGCAAGTCGTGTTCCCTGCAGTACTTGGCATCCACAGGAGCTGCCCACGCCTGGGCTGCTGCTTGGCTTCTTGGAGCTCCTTTGGGGAGGGGCAGGGCAGGGCTGGGCAAGTCCCAGCACGGAGTTAGATTTTGGCTTAGTGAGAAAGTATTGAAGGAAAGACAGTTCCTGTATCCCCAGTGAGCTCCAGCTGGGCTCTCTGGGTGAAACAAGGACAGCTGCTGGAATGTGCTGAGAAACACCAGCCTGGAGGCCCGAGGGGCAAGGCTGGAGGTCAGGGAACAGGAATGCCATGCAAGAACAGCACTTAAACCCAGGCCCCCAGCTTGGCCTCAGATGACTTGTCAGACTACGGTGAGAGAAAGACAAGGAAAAGACCTCCTCTTCATGATAGAATTTTGGTTTAACACCTGCTTATTAGGATAGCTTAGAACAGGAGAGCCAGTGGCTCTCCTTTAGACACTGAAGGCATTTAATGAATTGGAATCACTTTTTACTGATAATACTTTGGTTTTCAAAATAAAAGTACCAAGACAGTAAGAAGATATTTTAAGTTGCTTTTAAAAACATTTTATTGTTCACTAAGTGTAATACACTAGTAACCATTGCACATAAGGGAAGCGTTCAGAATATTATAATAAATAGATATGAATAATAAATATTCCACTTGTGACCCTTTAAGATTGATGAGACTTTCTCTTCTGTTGCTGATAAATAGATTCGACTTCTGAAAACAAGAATGCAGCTGTGATTGAAGGATTACTGATTCTATCCTATTCTAATAAGTAAAAAGATATAATATTTTTATTAGATTAAGAATCTAAATAGTTTACCTATGGTACACATCTCACTATGTATTATACTCTACTAAGTGAAGGGATCGGGCTAATATTGAATACACAAGTGTCAGTCAGTGTCCACATTCCCACAAAAACATATCGGTGTGAAAAGCAAACACTAAACAGAATAAAACTGTAGTTAGAGGATTTTAGTTGCAAGGTTCTGCAAACTAATGTTGAAGATATACACATTCAGTTGAATATGTTGGCTAAGCTCAAATAAACATCTCGAATGCCTTTTCACAATTACAGAGCAAAGCCATTTGAATAACAACATACTGAGTCATCGGTAGCTACAAGTAATCCCAATTTGCACTATATAATCTCATATTTATTGTGAGGGTTTCCCCAGGTCAAAGCTCTTTCTACTTCTCCACCGTAGCAATTTGATGAAGTTAAGACTTGCACTGAAGATTTTGTCATGCTGAAAAACCATTTTGTAGAATATATCGATGGGTAGATCTCCATTTGGATCTGCATACTTCAGAGTTGTCATTGGAGTATACAAGGTGTTGGTCTGATGGCGAAAAGGTGGATTTTCTGAAAGAATTATCTTTACTGTATGCTGTAGAGAAGGAGAAATAGAATTTTCAAAGGACCTTTATCAAAACAGTAAAGTAAAACCCCAGTTTTCAGTTAGCAGTGGAAAAGTGAAAGAATAAAGTCCTAGAATTATGTAAAACCCTTTATATAGTTTTATTAGAATTTCATTAGAAAATTTTCTTGAAATATTTTATGGCCATAAGAAGTACTTCTTATTTATTCCTAGTCCTATTTCTGTTTCTCTATACCATGGTGAATAACACCTTATACCTACGTATTCTGAATAGTCTTCCAAAATATGTCCACAATAGTAGATCCTTTCTTTTACAGTTCACTGGGAAAGGATCGGGACAGTGCATTTTGCAGCAAGATCTGGGAACCTTCAGTTGACACTGAAGCTATTCCTTACCAGCAAACACCTGAAATGATTGTCCCCTTCCCCCGCTTGCCTAAACTTGTCTTTCTGCAGGAAGCCTCAAGCGCCAGAAACTATGTCCATGTTTCTTCTATTGTGCCTTGGCGGTCTGGGGTGGCTGAGTGAACTTCCCCCCAGTGGAGGGATCACCAGGGAGATGGACAGGGCAGCAGCTTTGCCAATGGTGGGAGCCCCGGGCATGCCTATGGTAACGCTGCAGAGTGTTCAGCCTTAAACAGATGACGTACAGGGCATCTAATACCTCAGTGGTATTTAAATTACAACTCGTCTTCAATACTTCAAAATGAACATTCTCTTAATATTCTAAAGGGTTTTATTTAGAACTCTTAATATTCTCTGGAGTTTTTAAAAACCCTTTTTAATCATGTGTATGACATTTAATTAAATCTAATGCTTCTACCAGAAAAACCCACCAACGAACCACTGCATTCGTAAATTACAAAGGAAAAAAAAAATCAAGAAAAAGAAGATGGAGAGTTGTTTATGAGTTACCTCTGCAACATCTTCAGCACTTTGTCCCAGGCTCTGGAAAATCTGCTTGTAATTTTTAAGGTAAATATTAGTAAACATCTCAGCTGTTTCTGCATCTGCAGCTGAAAGATCCATTTTCATTCCATCTTCAAACACTTTTCTTTCAAACTCTGTAACCACTGGGCCTGGTTCAATCAAACTTAACCTGTTCAAAAAAAGCAAAGATATACTGTGTTTTGACTATCCCCCATGGAAAATACACCCCTCAATCCTTCCCAAAAAAGAAATATTGAAGAGTTGCACTCTTAGCCAACAATATTAAACAGTACATTCTGTAAAGGCAACCCATGCTGCATTACTGTTCTCATGCTCCTCCTATCCATCCCCATGTAGTAGTAGAAATCTGCATAGTTTAAATTTCAGAGAAGTGCTGTAACTTAATTCATGGCATGAGTGCAGTTGTTACCTGCTGTCTCGCAGCTGTGGAATCTAAGGATGATTTAGCCACAAGAACTTAGCAGATATTAAGAAAAATAATTAATGGATTATAACAATTCGTTGCTTTCTGGACAAAATTCTGCCTCAATTTCTTTGTTTCCCTTGATGAAGTAGCTGAAAGAGATGGGGGAATTGTCCAAACATGGATTTTCTTTGTCAAGCTGTCAGAGTTAGATAATTCAAGATTCCTCCACTGTATATTAATAAACTACAATATAGAGACTTTTGCTGTGGTTTTTTGTTCAATAGCATAGAGCAAATCACTGAAATACAGATACTGGTTGGGTTTTTTCCCCAGTTCTTTTCTCAGGCAGTAATAACTCTCAGCCACTGTGTTTGTAAAAACACTCTTTGGAATAGGACCGCTTTCTAGACTTGAGTTCTTTGGGGATGTTCTAAAGGCCCTTCTTTAGAACTAAATCAAGCTATTGACCTTCACAGCAGAATTCCATCTACTGCTGGAACTAAAGCTTTTTCTCTTCATCACTCTTCCCATCGGACCTTTAACTTTTCCTATTATACTTCCTTTTTTAACCTCCTTTTTGCTGTGTCTTATACTCTTGAAATCTAATTATGAATTCTGGTATATCCTGTGTATCATTACAATACACTTATTTTAAATTTCTCCAAACTTTGCAGAGCAGTATGTAGAATCACAGTTTTGTCTCTGAAATCCCACAACAGCTGGTGTCTCCCACAGCACAGGAGCTAAATGCTTGGGCACACACAGATGCAGTGGATATTTACCAGTTGTTGGACTTCACGTGAAGAACAGTAGCAGAATTACATGAATGTGAATATACATGTGACAAATCAAACCCCAAAATCCACAGATGATGCACAGGACCAGTCTCTTAAATACTGTCTAAAACATTAGAAATAGTACAGCACACTGTTCTCACTTTGCTCCCACCTCCTGTCATTACAGGTATCTCTCCCTGTGTTCCATTCTGATGGATTTGCACTTGCTCACTCTCTGTGGTGAGCCCTTGAAGTTTTTCCTCTGTGAATTGTCTAAGAAGGCTGTATTTTATCCACAGCTAAACAGCCTTTAACTATTCAAGAAAACATGTTTATTTTAACATCTAGATCTTTTTATTTGCTTATGTAGTGTGAAGAGTGTGAACATTTCTATGCCTTTTGTGACATGCGGTTTTCAAGGGGTTCTCAATCTCTTTAGCAGCAAGCTTTTAAAATCTGTTTACTAGGTCTGAAATATTTAAAACTATCTAAAATACAATTTACACCAGTGGATCAATACTT